CTACTAATACATATCAATCCACAAGTTTAACACCAACTCTCTTGCTACACATTTATCAATCCATAATCAATTTAAAACACAAATAAACACATATCTTTATATAATCATTACATCTATAACATACATTTAACAAAAGCCTAACATTCAATTCACTTACTAAAAATCCAACCATAATCAAGTCACAGTATCATTCCAAACGTAAACATCATAGAATTTTAAACATAAACATCGTATGAAGTATATCAAAATTTAACAAATATTTAGAAATCCCTTTCCTCTCCCTCTCCCTCTCCCTCTTCTTCCTCTCCCCCTTCCCCGTTCACCTTCAACATGAGCTTGGATAATCTCAACGTCCAGTTGTGTGTGAACTTGTGAGCACATGACATCCTCGTCGACTTGAACCTGTTGTAAACGTTCGCCTTGAGCTTGCTGTGAGCCTCCAGCTTCATCATGTGCACGACTTGAGCCTGCTCCCGTGTGTCCTTGGGCCCATTGACGCTCGTATCCTATGAGTCGTTCATCACGTCCATCACGTTTCTTATTACACGTCCTCCTAAGAACAGACTGAATATTTTCTATGATGCGAACAAATGCGTTCCTCGCTCTTGGCTCGGTAGTCATACTCAATGCATCATGTGCAATAGAAGCAACCTCATCGAGTTCTTGTACCTATAAGATAAAAAACGAAAGAGGATTATTAGCAAGTGGATGATAATAAAATAATAATCACAAAATAATTGTATATTTTGTCTATACAATGAGATCTATTATGACCCGGTTGTCTGTAATATCCTTACTTATTTTTTTGGAGCTCTTTCTCATCCTTCATCCATCGTACCTTTTATGCGTACTGATCTCGGACGTCCGACTGGTCTCTTATATTTAGAAGGTAACACATGCGACCCGTTATAGGTAGACCAGTAAAGACTATCTACAATGGGATGGAAACACTGCTTGTATGAATATCTATGGTGGCTTGATTGATACCACTTAGAAGCATATGTGTAATACGAAATATTTACACCCCCAATTTGCTTGGACGTAACCACCATAACATGTGAACATGACAATTTTTACAATTCTAGTATGTTACAAGTGCATGCGTATTGTCTCCCTCGTAAATTAACGATGTAATTATGATCGTGTTTGTCTGTAACATGCGATTCATCTACAATAAATCTAACAATCTTCGTTGATCTCGCCTGCTTGACATGAGCTCCTACAATCTCTTTATTTTTTTGGTGTCAATAACGTCACCCACTTTGCTCCATCCTCTCGTCGTTTGACAAAATAGTGATTGAGCCTACAAAATGTCCTCGCAACCAACGCCTATATAGGTATTGCTAGAGCCCCCTTAAGTACCATGTTGAAGCTTTCAGAACAATTAGTTATCATCATGCAAAACCGATTCCCTCCATCTTTACTTAGTGCTCACCGGTCGACATATTCACTTCTCAAACTATTATTAATCCAGTCATGTGCAGCTTGAGATATTACCTTGATTTGATCTAGTATCCAATCATACACACATGTTTCGGGTGTATAACCCGCTTACCAAAGAAGGTTTTGTAAATGTATCTGACCAAAGCTCTTTTTTAAATTAGCTCTAATGTGACACATGTTTTGGGTGTACAAACCACTTGCCAAAGAAGGTTTTGTAAATATATCTGACCAAAGTTCTTTTTTAAATTAGCTCTAATGTGTCGTAAACAATAGCGGTGATGGTGATGAGAGTCAAATCTCCTGTACAATGCTTTTGGAATACCTTTTATCCTATTGTATTTAATAATAATTTTCCTAGGAGGTAACACATTAAAAATATGTAATTGAATGCAAAAAAAACCACTCCTAATTTTCACTGTTCTCGATCTCCACAACTGTAAAAGCCAAAGGAAATAAGTCACCATATGCACATGCTCCTGTAGCAACAAGCAATACACCCTTATTTTTACCATATAAGTGTGTGCCATCAATGTTAAGAAACGACCAACAAATTTTAAATCCCTCGATCGAAGGACCAAATACCCAAAATACAGAGGTGAATTGATGAACTCCCGGATTGACCTCTTTGGTTATGAGTTTGTATTCAGATCCAGGATTGCTTCTTTTAATCGCATCAAGATATTAAGGTAGTGTCGTATAAGACTTCTCCCAATCACCAAATATTTTTGGCATCGTAATTTTCCTTGCATTCCATGCTTTACTATACGATATTTCAATGAACTTCGTATCTAACACTCTCTCAATTATACTATCGGGAGTTAGTTTAAGCTTCTTCTTTAATTTTGGCATAATCAACCGCGCTATGTAAGAGGCAGATGCACCACTGTGATCTTGCTCTAATATTGGATTGCTACATGTGTGTGCACTGCAGTATTCTGTGCTCCTAAAATGCGCATTATGTTTCTTTCCGGCAAATGCATATAACTTCCAAGGACATACATAATCATCTTCATTTCCCTCAGCCCGATCTTTCCTTTGTGTATTTATAAAACAAATTGCATCATAACTTGTGCGATTGCTTTTAACTTACTTAAATTTGACATTCTTTTTGATTGAGTAATCACGAATATCATCAACCAATTGGTCCTTAGTCTCGAATAAATCACCAACTCTGAAAGGGACATCATCATCTCCTCTATGAGTTGAGTTTTGGCCAATGCACATATCTTGTACTATGGAAGAACGGATCCACTCATCATCTTCAAACTCGTCGGGGGGTGGTTCTTCGTACTCAACATATTCATTATTAACATAAGCCTCATCATGCTAATTTGGATTCTCTTCAACATCTTCACTCATAAATTGAATGCTATCAATTGGTGCACTATCTTGCTCTTTACCTTCAAAGTCGTTGCTTCTTTCATCCTCTTCAATTATTGACCCTCTTAACGACCTCATATTTTCATAAGGGACTTCATTGTTCATGACATTTGGTGTTCCACCTAATGAATGTGCACTTGGATATTGAAATTGAGTCTGCTTCATTTCACTCAAAGAAGAAAGAAAACCATCAAACTCAACTCCCAAATCTAACATGTGTGAGAATTCTTTTGGAGGTTTGAATATTTGGCACAAACTATATGATAACTTTTCAATAAACAATTCTACCGTTGGTTGCAACTTTCTCAAATTAAACATAATACTTATATGATGATCGTTTGAGATCTCAACTGTGAACGTTCTATCAAAAGTTATGAGTCAATTGCATATTATTTTTAGTCGGTATTCTCGTGGGTCAATTTCCGTAACTCAGTGTAATTCCTTAACTAAGTCACAATAACTATATGATTCCGAGATTATTAACAGCGTCGTTAGCCCTCCGACGTACATTGGCATATTATTCTTTCCATAATTAATTTTTTCACTATAAGAACAAACAATAAAAATCATATTGTTCAACCTATGCAAAAGAAGATTATATCATTTAAATACAAAAAAATTTAAAAAATATTATCAAGGCATCAAATAAGAGAGGAAAACCCAAGATGCAATAATATCATATAATTTTGACCAAAAACCCTAAACCCCAAATTGAAAATCCTAAACCCTAAAATTGAGTATTCTATGCCCTAAAAGCTTAATTTCAATTACAACAACCAACACACAAAACATTCGAACCACCACAAATAGAGTGGTTGATAATAAATTTCAAACCCTAAAAATTTATTTTTGAGAGAAAATCCTAGATTTTTACATGTTAAAAGAGGAGAGAAGGAAGAGAAATTACCCTAGAGATCTTAAACAAACTTTCACGACGAATTTCCGCCGCAAAATGGGGTTGAAATTAAGATGGGTTGCAGCAGAATGAGAGAACGACCAGAGTTGGAGAAGAGAGATGCGACTGGGAGAGATGGGGTTGGGGGAGAAGGGTTTTAGTTAGTTTATATAGGGGGACGGGACCCAGAACAAGTAGTCAGGGTTGGCAACCTCGACTATTGTGTCACTTAGCCAATTTCCCACTTACTCAACCTGAGATTGGCCATTCTCTGCTAAATGGTCAGGTTTGGGAACCATTTCGAATTAGGCGTTTCGAAATGGTCGGGGTTCCCAACCCGATAAATTTAAATATGTGCTAAATTAGTCGGAGTTTCGAACTCCGATTTCTTTAGGTTTCAAACTACAATAGGGTAGCGGACGAGCTCTTAATTAGTCGGGGTTGGCAACCCCTTCTTTAGGTTTCAAACTACAATAGGGTAGCGGACGAGCTCTTAATTAGTCGGGGCTGGCAACCCCGACTAATTAAGACCAACCCCGACTAATTAAGACCGTAATTTTTTTTAAATCGACCAACTTTCTAGCCATGATGCTAATGTGACGAGAAAGTGTGTCGATTTTCGTAATTAAGTTTGAAGTGGGTCGAGTTTTGGGAATAAAATTGGGAATGCATTTAGTTTGAAAATTGGGAAAATTTGCAAAATAGACCATTTTTATGAAATATATAGCGAAATAGACCATTTTGAAAAATAATTAGCAAAATAGACATCTTTTGAAAAAAAAGAGGTCGATTTTGAAAAACAAGGCTCAGAAAACATACGAGACTACTAGTCCTGTATGTTTAGAGCCAACTAATCACGGATTAATGACTCAGAAAACATACGAGACTAGTAGTTCCGTATGTTTTTTGAGTAGAAAATTTCACTAATCCGTGATTAAAACATACGGGACTACTAGTCCCGTATGTTTTCTGAGCTGTTTTGCAAAATAGACTTTTTTTTGGCCAACTGTTGGCAAAAAAAAGTCTATTTTGCTAATTATTTAGCAAAACGGTCTATTTTGCTAAATAATTAGCAAAAAAGTCTATTTTGCAATTTTTCCTTTCGAAAATTTCTTCCAAAAAGATTACTTACCGACTTTCGCTTACTAACCGGGTGCACATTCGGCGTTGTCGGGCATCGACTGATGGCCTAAAATGACCATCCGTTGCAGATCAAGAACTGAGCACCCGCAGCTATAAATAGCGCTTATCT